TCTTTAAAGTTGTTCAAATTAAGTTCTTAGCAATGCATATTACTAATCAAAAATTAAGTTTTGATATATTTACGGTAGGAAATTTACTAAATATCTTCATAGAAACCTGGGCCCGTGTTCACAGAACATTTTATCTTCCCACTAAGAGTTCCCCTAAATAGCATTAAAAGTTTTTAGCTAAGAGTTTTCTCTTAAAGCTGCAGAGACAAACTTGTATTAAGGAATAGTGAGAAGTCTTAAACTCAGAGTAAGGGGGCGGGGTTTACCTCGTTGCTATGGATGATGTCAGCGTGCTTATTAACTATGCACACAGTGATTGGCTGATAGTCTCTGTCAGAGATTTATTCGTGGAAATATTGTAGAGCATGATATTATGTTGCCATATTCAAATAAAGATTTTAAAATGCAGGCTAAGTGTCACTAATTAAACAAGTATATGTTCAGCTAACTGTCAGCCTCTTAGATGTGTGCTTCTCGTAAACAATTAGTGGATACGCATATAAACAGCCTTTTAATTAACAGAGTGGAATAATCATGGCTGATAGTAAGACATGCAAACGTAAAAGAAAACCAAACTGGACTCAAGAACAGCTGTTACTTCTTCCCTAACTGTTTAATGAAAACAAGGATATAATCAAAGGAACATTTAGAGTTGGTATAACCTCCAAAACCAAAGGCGATACCTTTATAAAAGCTCATTATTGTCAAATGTTTCTAAAATTGCCGGAAACAGCAGTTTTAGGATAGTTTGTGGCTTAGGAGTCCTCTTCACTGCTCCTAACCTTTCACAGATTTAGGAGCTAGTTTTAGAGCTAAAACACTTTGTGAAATACTCTTAGAGCGAAAATGTAGGAGTCCTACATTTAGGACTGACACGCCCATTATATTTTACGATTTTCTCCTAAATCAACGAGTTATGAGCTACTTTTAGCCTTAAGATGTTTTGTGAATACTGGCCCTGATCTCCAATAAAAACATGACTCGATTCTTTCAGGATCTCTGGGATTCCAGAACTTCTCATTCAAAGACTTTTTTGTCGGATCGGTAAGTAATTTTATTATGGTCCACACTCACCATTTCATCTGAACATCATTTTCAGATTTCAGTATTTAATAAACTCATTTAATATAATTAAAAACTCACTCGCTATGACCTGAGAGCAAAAAAAAAGCCACGTGGCTTGTTATGCTGCATTTGATTTTGTCTTTATATTGGTTTATATGGAAGCTTTTTTCTGACATTGAATGAAATAAGAATTTTAATCATAAATTTGAATACCCCAATTCTGGCTTTTTTTTAATGCTAGAAAAAAGTCAGAATTGTGAGATAAAAAGTTGCAATTACCTTTTTTTTTTTTCCATATCAGAAAAAAGGAAGCTGTAAAGCCGGAAATCAGAGGAAAAAAAGAAAAAATTTGCACGATAAAAAGGCACAATTACGTATTATTTATTTATTTATTTTCCATCATGGCAGAAAAAAAGAATTACGAGATGTAAAGTCGGAAATCCGAGAAAAAAAGTCAAATTTGTGAGATATAAAGTCACAGTTACCTTTTTTATTTTAGTTTTTTATTACATGGAAGAAACAAAAAACAGAATTGTGAGATAAAAAGTTGCAATTATTTTTTTCATTTATTTCTTGGCAGAAAATCAAACGGAATTGTGAGATGTAATCTCCGAAATCTCAGACATAAAATTCAAAACGGTCAGAAATAAACTTAGAATTGTGAGATAAAAAGTCACAATTACCTAGTTATTTTTATATTCTGTGACGGAAACAAGCTTCCATAGATTGACTGATTGATTTATATTTCGTTTCTTTTAGTAGAAAGTTTTTATTCTATTTCTTGACTTTTCACAACTGCCTGTTTTTGGACATGCACAGATATAAATGAATGTCCGTATTTTATATGGGGATTTCTTATAACCGTATTATCGGCTTAACTGTTTAATGTTTAGTGGATCTGCATCATATTCTTGAGCATGTAAACCAGATCCCTGTCTTATCTTTCCTAAATAAATATGAGTTGTCTGTCCTTCACATTCTGCATGAACTGTTCTCTCTCTAAACCCCCTCTCTTGTGTTCTGGGTCTGTTCTGTGTGTTTTTAGGGTGTTCTTGAATCCTCCCCGGTGTTTCATAGTTTCTACACTCGTGGGTCTCTTGATTTGGATTGTTTAAACACTCCGATCCTCTTTCTCCTTGGCATGTTCTCTGTCCTCTTCCTCAGCATCATCATGGTGGTCCGCAGGTCAGATCATGTACCTATGAGTTATTAAATGAATGAAGTTTTTAAGTGGTCAAGCAGCTCTTGACCACTACCATACACTCATTCAACAGCATGATGTCTAATGCTAAAATACATCATTTCAACTCATCTCATAGTTTGCAAATTCTGTTCATAGAGTTTACAGTTTTTTTCTGAAACCTGACACTCAAAATTCAGAAGCACACACCAAATCTACAAAACCATACACTAATTTTCAGCCTTTGACTCAGTTTTCAATTTCATAAAACACTTTTTGCAAAACACAACACAATTCTCTGTGTAACACACACAACTCTAACAGGAATTAATATTATGGCAAAGGTGTTTGCAAACATTTGCTTTTGAGATGTGTTTGTGATATTCTGAATGCAGTGCTTCATTTTGCAAGAGATGCGAGGTGTTTTGCATTTTGTGTGCAATTCTTGGATTTGTGTGTGAAGTTTGAAAAAGAGGCAACATTTTGAAAATGTGTGTAAGCAGCTGAAAACACTGTAAAAGCTATTGAACTGGAAACATTCATTGATTTATAGTAAATTACTTTATTATTGCAAAAGATTTGTGTTCCCCCGAGAAACTTTGCATTCACTCACAAAACTTTTGAGAATGCAAATTTTCTTGGCGAAAACGAAAGTTTGCAAGCGAATGTACCGTTTCTAAGCAAATACAAAAGGTTTGCAAGAAACTTGGCATTTGTTTTTCAGCAAACTCAAAAGTTTTTCAAGTGAACTTTGTTTTCTCATAAAACTTTTGCGTTCGAACAGAAACTCTACGTTTGCTCTTTTAAACTTTTGAGTTTCCTGAGAAACGTTAAAACTTTTGTATTCCCCCAAGAAATCTGCGTTTCACTCACCAAACTTGTGCATTCCCTGAGAAACTTTACGTTCGCTTATAAAACTTTTTTTGTTTCTTGAGAAACATTGTGTTCGCTTGTTAAAACTTTTGCAAAACCTTTGCTTTTGTTTTGGAGAAATGTTGCATTAATTTGCAAAACTTTTACATTCCCAGAGAAACTATTAGTTTGCTCACAAAACTTTTGCATGCCATGAGAGACTTAAGTGTTCCCACAAAAACTCACTGTTCACTTGCAGAACTTTTGCGTTTCCCAAGAAATGTTGTGTTTGCTTGTTTAAAACATTTGCATTACCCCAAGAAACTTGGCATTTCCAGAGAAACTTGGTGTTTCTTAGGATATGCAAAAGTTTTACAAGTAAATGCAAAGTTTCTCAGAAAAGCAAAAGTTTTACAAGTGAACGCAACGTTTCTCTGGGAACACTAAGCTTCTTGTGGAACGCAAAACTTTTGTGAGCAAACGTAACGTTTCTCTGGGAACATAAACATTTTCCAAATTAATGCAAAGTTTCTCAAGGGAATGCAAAAGTTTTATGAGTGAATGCAACGTTTCTCTGGGACTGCAAAAGTTTTGCGTACTTATGCAAACTTTGTTGGAGAGTGCAAAAGAATGAGCGTAACGCTTTTCTTAGAACGCAAAAAAGTTTTATGAGAGAGCGTGAAGTTTCTTGGGATAAGCAAAAGTTTTAACAAGTGAACGCAACATTTCCCAGAAAACGCAAAAGTGGTGTGAGTGAACACAAAAGCATTGAAATAGCTTTTCAAATTTTTCTCTTATCTCATAATTTTCTCATATTCAGGACAGTGGTCGGCTACAAACATTCATGGCTCACAGGAAATCGCTTCAATTCCAACTTGAGTTACAAGGTTTTCTGTGGGTGGGATTTCTGCATCCAGAACCCTCAAGCAGCGTCACTGAAACAAAACTTCGTCCGAAACGAACTCAGGGTAAGAAGTCATGCCAGTCTCACAGAGAGAGAGTTTATAGATGGGTTAGGATGCAGGAACATTATTCCCAATGGATGACCTCTGACCTCTGCTCCAGATGGATCTAGAAGAGCAGACGTTTCAACAGAGAGTCCAGCAGCGATCGCTCAGACACTGGGTTCAGCTCATCTTCCTGCGGATCCTTCTGAACGTCCTCGTGCTGGTTCTTCTGGGCAGCTCATTCATTCTGATACATTTTGCCATCCAAACGTCACAAACTAAGGTACCAGTATGAAGTAAAATAATTGAAGCAACACTATGCAACTTTTATGTCCCTCTAGTGGTTGAAGCAGTGGTTGAAGCATAAAAGTACAAGTTACTTTGTTTTGAATTATGATATATACTATGTATGTTTCATATGTGACCCTGGAGCACAAAACCAGTCATAAGGGTCAATTTTTCGAAATTGAGATTTATGCATCATCTGAAAGTTGAATATACTGTATAAGCATTCCAGTGTTTTAGTATATGAAAATATTTGGCCGAGATACAACTATTTGAAAATCTGGAATCTGAGGTTGCAAAAAATCAAAATATTGAGAAAATCATCTTTAAAGTTGTCCAAATTAAGTTCTTAGCAATGCATATTACTAATCAAAAATTAAGTTTTGATATATTTACGGTAGGAGATTTACAAAATATCTTCAAGGAACATGATCTTTACTTAATATCCTAATGATTTTTGGCATAAAAGAAAAATCTATCATTTTGACCCATACAATGTATTTTTGGCTATTGCTACAAATATACCCCAGCGACTTAAGACTGCTTTTGTGCTCCAAGGACACAATTGTTTAACAGCTAATGTCCAGGCATTATTCTCTCTCTCTCTCTCTCTCTGTCTTCATTATTTAGTGTGAGAATCATTGGACTTTGTGTCTGATGTTGGAGTATCTTCCTCCGATCACAATGACGACAGTAAACTACATACTTCCACATGTTTTCAGTAAGATCTCAGAGTTTGAAGATTACTCGCTCACCATTCAGCTGAACCTCACACTAATCAGGTCAGACAGGTCATACACTTTGACCTCTGATGTGTTATATTTTAAACGGTCCTGTGGTGTTAAACGAATGTGTGTATTAACTCCATGTGCAGGAGTATTTTCCTAAAGTTGGCGTCTTTGGGCATCTATCTGTTCTTCTTCATTAATGCTCAAGAATCTCCAGAACAACACAAGGTTTGTTAAGAAGGGAAGAAGTTGTTTCTCCTAGAAAACAATATGCAAAGACACCATGTCTGTAATTAAAAGTCAGAGAGATCTTCTTATTAAATGATCTGAGCTGCTCCGCATTCATTATATAGCTCTATAGTCTTCCCGATTTGTGACTGTTTTTCTTTCTCCTGATGTATTTGAGGAGAAACATGACAATGTTTATGCTGAAATTAAACAAATAAGATATTTTTAACAGGTTTATCAGTGCAGAGAGAATGCGTTTGGGAAGGAGATGTACAAACTCACCATCTTTAACCTCCTGGAGTGTTTCTTCAATGCATTTTGTGTGGCCTACCCAAGAATGTGAGTTACTTATATACTTTATCTAACCATTTAATACTTTATTGAACACTTTAGACATAAAATACATACGTGCCCCTCTGTGACTGCATATTTTAATAATTTAACACCACATTTGCATGGTTCTCTGGTGTCGGATAATGCTAATATGACATGCAGCTCAACACAAAGTTTTTTTTTTTAAGTGCTTTGTTTTTATTTAGTTTTTGAAACGCAAAAGGTTTCAAAAAACAAACTAGTGCTGTCAAACGATTAATCGCGATTAATTGCATCCAAAATAAAAGTTTTTGTTTACATAATATATGTGTGTGTACTGTGTATATTTATTATGTATATATAAATACACACATACAATACAGCATATATTTTGAAAATATTTACATGTATTTACATGTATATATTTATACTTATATAAATTATATCATATATAAATATATTTAATATATAAACGTAACATATTTTTCTTAAATATATACATGCATGTGTGTGTATTTATATATAAATAATAAATATACACAATACACATGCATATTTTATGTAAACAAAAACTTTTATTTTGGATGCGATTAATCGCGATTAATCGTTTGACGGCACTAATTTCTTGCCGGAATGCAAAGGTTTTACAAGATAGTGCAAAGTTTTTCAGGGAACTTTTGTGAGCGAACACAAAGTTTCTCGGTGGAGCACAACCATTTTATAAGCGAATGCAAAGTTTCATGGGTAAACGCAACAAGTATTTCACAAGCAAGTATTTCGCAAGGAACTCAGTATCTCTTGGTGGAACGCAATTTTGTTAGAGAACACAAATGTTTTGCAAAGTTTCTCGGTGGAATAAGAAGTCTCTTGTCGGTGAATACAAACTTTCTGAAGGAGCGCAAAGTTACTTGGGGAACACGAAAGTTTTGCGAGCAAATGCAAAGTCTCTCAAGAAGCGCAAACGTTTTCAGAGCTAACACGCAGTTTCTCAGGGAACGAAAAAGTTTTGCGAATAAATACAATGTTTCTTGCGGAGAGCAAAGGCTTTGCGATAGAACTGAAAGGTTATAGGAGAAGACAATGGTTTTGCGGGTGAACACAAAGTTTCTCCTATATGTGTGAATGCAAAGTTTCTCAGGGAACCCAGAGGTTTTGCTGGAGAACACAAAGTTTTCTGTTTGAACAGTTTTGCGAGCAAACTCAAAGTTTCTTGGGAGAACATAACTTTTTTTCTTATGAGTGAACTCTCATTGGAAAATGCTAAAGTTTTGCAAGCAAATGCAAAAGCATTGAAATATGTGACCCTGGAGCACAAAAGCAGTCTTAAGTCGCTGGGGTATATTTGTAGCAATAGCCAACAATACATTGTATGGGACAAAATTATAGATTTTTCTTTTATGCCAAAAATCATTAGGATATTAAGTAAAGATCATGTTCCATGAAGACATTTTGTAAATTTCCTACCGTAAATATATCAAAACTTAATTTTTGATTAGTAATATGCATTGCTAAGAACTTCATTTGGACAACTTTAAAGATGATTTTCTCAATATTTTGATTTTTTTGCATCCTGAGATTCCAGATTTTAAAATAGTTGTATCTCAGCCAAATATTGTCCTATCCTAACAAACCATACATCAACGGAAAGCTTATTTATTCAGCTTTCAGATGATGCATAAATCTCAATTTCGAAAAATTGACACTTAAGACTGGTTTTGTGGTCCACGGTCACATATAATTTTCCTCGGATCTCATTCATTTTCATTGACATGTCCCTTTGCATTAAGTCCACTGATGCTCATTGTGAATCCCTTTTATGTTTTTGCATTTTACATTTTTAATATTTTAATTATCTGCTTTTCATCAACTCACGTACTCTGCTTTAGCTAATGACCGCATCTCATCGTAGGTTATTGGTGGAGAGGTTTCCATCCTCAAAGCTGGCGCAGTTATTAGGCAAGAAGCAGTTTGAGATCTCCTTCAATGTTCTGGATCTGGTCAACAGTCAGACAGTCACGTGGGTCGGCGTGTTTTACTGTCCTCTACTGCCAGCCATCAACACCATCAGGCTGCTGCTCCTCTTCTACGTCAAGAAGGTTTGATGTTTGATTCACTTTTTTAACAGGAAAGTCAAATCAAACAAAACTAACCTAAATGTTTTAGGGTATTATTTTAGAAACAGCTAATGTACATTTACATTTAGTCATTTAGCAGATGCTTTTATCCAAAGCGACTTACAAATGAGGACAACGGATGCAATCAAAATCAACAAAAGAGCAATGATACGCAAATGCAATAACAAGTCTCAGTTAGCTTAACTCAGTACATGTAGCAAGGTTTTTTTTAAATTATATAATAAATAAAAAGAAAACATATAGAATAGATTAGAAAAAGAATAGAGCAAGCTAGTGTTAGACGCCTTTTTTTTGCTTTTTGTTAATTGTATAATAAATAAAAAGAAAACAAATAGATAGAATACAAAAAGAATAGAGAAGCTAGTTTTAGTTTTTTTTTAAAGAAAGAAAACAAGCAGTTAGTAAATGAATAGAGTGCAAGTCTAAAAGGGGCAAGTTTTTTGTTTTTTAAAGAATAGAATTAGAATAGAGAGTGCTAGAGTTAGAGGGTCAAATAAAGATGGAAGAGATGTGTTTTTAGTAGTGCTGTCAAACGATTAATCGCGATTAATCGCATCCAAAATAAAAGTTTTTGTTTACATTATATATGTATGTGTACTGTGTATATTTATTATGTATATATAAATACAGTATACATTTTGAAAATATTTTCATTTATGCATTTAGATATTCTTATATTTTATATTATATATAAATACATTTAATATATAAACAGCATATTTTTGTATTTATATATATACATAATAAATAAACACAGTACACACACATACAGTATATTACATAAACAAAAACTTTTATTTTGGATGCAATTAATCGCGATTAATCGTTTGTCAGCGCTAGTTTTTAGCCGATTCTTGAAGATGGCTAAGGACTCAGCTGCTGGGATTGAGTTGGGCAGGAGGGAACATTTAATGTAAAAGTCTGTGAAAGCGATTATAATGTAATCCTATAATTTCTGTGTGTCAGTTCACAGTGGTGCGGTGTTCTGTTCCGGCTCAGAGAATGTTTCGGACCGCCAGTTCATCTGTTCTCTTCCATTTCATGCTGTTGTTGGGACTCTTCATGGCTGTGGTCACATTAGTTGTCAATATCAACAGGTACTAATGCTGATAAATATCTATAATTTAGTACAGTTCTACATGCAAAGCCAGTGTTTTTTAATGCACTGGTCAATTTAGAGATTTTGGGCTATTTTGCTTTTCATAACTTTCAAGACTAGTGGAAAGAAAACATCCAAAATACATATTTAAGTGCACTTAATCAATTTGCATCTGTAGATTTCAATTCCAATATCTTTAAAAGTTTTTTCTCCACTTCAGCAGCACTTACATACACCAAACTTAGCAGTTTTATTCCTCTCTATATTCTAAAGGTTTTTACTGTGGGGTTTGTTCATATATCATTCACACTGATTTATACGACATTTAATTCCTCACAATATGGCGATTTTTTTTTTATTTTTATTTTTTAACTGTCCTGTTGACAGTTATTTTTCCTGAATTATGGAGTGATATTTTGCTTCCATAACTTGTCTTCTTACAGATTAGTGGGAGGAAAATATCCAAAATACACATTTAACTGTTTCATTTATTACACTTTATCTATGTGCGTCTGATTTCAGTTACAATACATATCTCAAGTCGCTTAAAGTCGTTTTCTCAAAATGAGTTTTTTCTCCACTTCAGCAGGACTTACAGACACCAAACTTAGCAGTTTTATTCATATCTATATTCTGAAGGTTTTTACTGAGGGGTTTGTTCGTATATCATTCACCTGAGTTTTTATTCCTAAAAACGTGATTAAAATTTACTTTTTTCACAGTATTTTTTTATTTATGCAGTGATAAAAAGAGAAATCCAAAATCCCTTCTGTAAAAACCTTTAACTCTAATATGTCAACAAAATCAAACAAGAATTTCGAACCAGGCTTTATCCAATGTTCAGAATTATTTTTTTGGAAATGTATGCAGATTAATGCATATTTAATTAGACAATGCCTTAATCAACTGGGGAGAGGTAATAACTAACATTTTTACCCTATTCACCTGTGCTGCCTTAATAAAAGAAAATGAGACATTAAACATCTATTCTTCAAATATTTACTCAGCACTCACTCGTGTTATGTGACCTTATACTTGCGTGATGTTTCTCACACATTCATAACTCTTATCACGTTCTCCTCTGAGGTTTGATCAGGGTGGCTGTGGCCCGTTTGAAGGCAACAGAACCGTGTTTACTGTGACCAGTGTGTGTATAAAGACGCTTCCCGATCCGGTCCAGAGCACCATCAGCTACATCTCATCTGAGGCCTTCGCCTTCACTCTCATACTGGCTGAAGTGTAAGTGTGTGTTTATGTCCTAACCAGGTGTGATGGAATCAGGGTTATTACTGTGAATTAAAAATAAAACCATAAAAAACACTCAAACATTAACTGAAAAAAATATGATATATGCATAGTATATATAAAACACTTTTTTAGCTAGTTGCAAAGGCAACCTTTCTCTTTTATTGTTTAGTTTATGTTGACGTTCTAAAATAACTAAACTGTAAAAAAATATATCATTTCACCTTAAAAAGTAAGTGTTGTGCTGTCTTAAAATTTTAAGTTTAGTCAACTCAATTATCCAAGTTGTCATATATTTCAAGGTGACTAAACTTAAATTTATAAAATGGATAGTTCCGGTCCTTGATTCTGATTGGTTGAGCCACGTTCGAAGCTGTTGTAAATTACACTACAAACATACACCTTTGTTTACTTCTGTGTGT